TAAAACAGCATTTGGCAAACATTGTCACAGTAGTTGAAGAGCCGCTTTCGTACATGCCTTTTTTCCTGAGAGAAAAATGTATACATATTGCGGCACTCTATAATGGCCGATTTCACATACCATTCTCTTCTTCACTCTCTGAGGATGAACTATCCATTTCATCCTCTTGCATCGGCGCATCCTCTCCATCATCAGAACTGTCTGAAATCTCTCCTTCCTCCATCTCAGAATCACTTTTATCAGGGGACTTTGCAAATTCAACATCTCTGATACAACTGGGATTACTTGTTTCCATTTTGTCACCGTGACAACTGTCATCATCACTATCATCAATTTCAATGACTTCAATATCTAAACTACTTTTTGCTTGGTCTTGGTGATTTGATTTATGTATTCTATCATCTACAATCTTCAAATATGAAAAAAAAATAAAAAAAAATTCTAATCTAAAATTTCCACCTACCAATGTATGGTTTTCCAATTACATTGGATCCTGGGGTATGTAATCTTCTTTTGGGTTTTGACTGAGGATATTCTCTAGAAATGGTTAAGCTGCCCAATTTACATGACAAGTTTTCCAGTTCATCTGCCTATAAACAGAGGATTCTAGTGATTGGAATACCATACATTGCAAGGTAAATATGATTGCATTTATTATACATCTGGAAGTAAAGTTTGAATGTGACAGCTGCCTTATTTGGTAAATGCGAATCACATTTGTAGGGAACTTTTTGTCTGTTAGCATCATATAGGCAGCAATAATAGTATGCGTCAAAAATAAAATCATGCTGAATCTCGTAAAACGTTTTCATTGCCATTTCAGCCTAGTGTTTTTCTCACGAAAAATATGACTACAAGCTGGGGGGAAAAAGATGTATAATAATGAGGTTACCACAGGAATAGTGTAAAGTATACATTCAGGCAGTACAGGGTCACATTGTCCTCCGCTGCGCTGTATACTCATAATAATTGCAGAGTATTTTGATTTAGTGATTATCATGTCACTTTCACACCTCAAACGTAAACACATTTGTGTTCTGTGCTACAAAATGCTCCATGTTTTGCAGTAAAGAGCAGGGTAGAATAATTGGCCATAATACAAAAGATGTTAAGGTGGCCACTTTGTATATTGTATTTTAGCAGATGATTATTGGATCATTTAATTCTAACTCATTTTGATGGTAGACATGCTAATTAAAAAAACAAATAAAATCAACAGATAAATCAATGACTCAAATATGTTCAGCTACAGCAGAAGCAGTAGTTGAGATTTTAAATTTTAACATACCCCCTGCTGACACTTATTTGTCTCCATTCATTTTGGATATCCATGGAGGTGCAGCAGGCAATGTGCTAACTAACAAAAGAAGCCATCATGCATTCAGTTATAAAAACTGGATGGAATAACACAGTTAGTCATGGACATTTAAGCCACATTGTGTTGTGTTTGCGTAAACCTTTAAGTTTACCAATTCATTACCTCTATTATTTCTGTCTCATTTCCATCTTCATTGGATTTCATCTTTTTCTTCTCTTTGCTTTTCTTCTTTTTCTTTTTCTCCTTAACATCTGTGGTTGAAAGTTCGGCATAAGCCGTCTGTGTAATGTCGACTTGAGAATGAAAATGATACGTATTCATTTTCTGATCATAATAATAATATATACCTGTATTTGGTTCATAATATAACTGATTTTTCTGAAAAGAAAGGATGAAACAAATATTGATTAAATCACAATAGATGGATCTCATGTGACAGCATATGTGATATATGTTGTATGTTTACACAAATAGTAATTTATATATTTTGTTGAATCAGCTTGTTCATGACATTCACTGCTTTATAATTTTATGAATTATTCTCTGAAATGAATTAATAAGTATTGTCACTATTATCTACAACAAATAAGAACACAAGCAGTGTTGTACTGAGAGATTTTATTTTTTCCATCTTAATTTTTGTTAATTGGCAAATGAAAGTTAGGCCAAAAATAAGTCACCCACCACACACTTATTTCTTGAATTCTTTGTACCGATGAAGTGTTCCACATAAGATAGAATGGGAAATGTTGTTTTCTGTTTCAGAGGATGTTTTGTCAATCCAAAAGCTTTTAATTTGAAAGCATTATTTAATAAATGTGGAACATTGAATAATCAAAAAATACAAAATAAAAAAAATTAAACCATGCCACTGCATCATTTTCCAATTTTCTTTAGGACGAAAAGCAAAATATTTTTTTGGGGGGAGGGGGTTCATCATACTGCTTACCTGGTCATAGTAGTAACCAGTACTATAATCATAATATAGTCCAGTTCTTTCATCATAAACAAACCCTGACTGAGTCGTTGCTGCTTCTGCAGCAGCTTTCAAACTTTCAGCAATCGACAGACCATCTCCCTACATAGCAACAGATAAATACATATAGTCTTACACTGTAACAGTATAATGAATTACCAGTACCATATACATATTCTAATCAGACAAAAGTGAAAGGCCTTACCGCGGTATTTGTAATTTGGTTCTAAAATAAGCATCATGAACAGTTGAAAGTTAAAAAAATGTTTGTATTCCCACATGACAACAAAATACAGTGAGCAGGTGTTTTTCTAGAAAAAAACTGCAAGAGGGAGCACTGCAATTCAGTGGCGCCACCAAGTGGGGGATATAGGGTTCTCCCTACCAAAGTGTGAAGTTTTTGATAATTCAAAGTTAAAATGGAGCATTCTATGGATTCCTTGGGGCCAAAATTACTACCACAATTGAAGACTGTGGCCACATGTTACTGGTCAATCAGAATTTTATGGTTGCCAGAGGATCTGCTCCCTAGGGTAAGGGGCACATGGCCAAGGCATGAGAGTGCTGCGCCTCTGTTCCCTTGTTTAACAAAATCCCTGGTGAGTAATTTTAATGTACCAGGTAATATATATTGGTTTTAATTTTTATTGTAATACAAAGTATAGTCTAGAATAAGTCTAAAAAAAACACAAAAAAACACAAAGGCATTGCTTAGTAGCAAATGATTAAAGTCTGACATATAATCGGTTATGTTGTTTCACATGAATATAACTTACATGTCGATTATAATATACAAAAAAACAATTTGTTGGTTTGTTATGAAAAAAAGGAAAATTCAACTTATATATTAGTTTCACTGTAAGCGAATATTTTCTGTAGCACACAAACACTTGATGTACCGTAAAATCTGTATTAGAAGCCGCATCCCTAATAGAAGTCGCATCCATACTATTTGAATAATTGAGAACTAAAAATTCATCATTTCTCATATGTGTAGATGCTCTAATAGAAGCCGCATCCCCAGTAATACAATTTCCGTCATAATTTATCCATACATCAATTGACCTTAAAATGTCTTCTTTGACTTGATAGGTCAAATTTAGGTGGGGAACAAACCACTAGAGGAAAGAACACTTACTTGTAAATTATTTAAATCTTCTTTGTTATTTTCTTGAGTGTTCTCATGTTGAACAACAAAATCAGTCTGTATGCTTGCATCAACCAACTGTTTATGTTTGTATCCATGTACCTGTTTTCGTAGAGTATTTACCTCACCACGTAGGCTTTCATTATACCTTTCCGTTATTTCTATAGTCCGCTCAGATTGCTTGAGTTTTTTTTCAAGTTTAGATTGACTTCTTTGAGCTTTCTCTAACTGTTTTTCAAGTTCAGTGACCTGTTTTTTTAGAGTCTCTAATTCAGATTCATTGGATTCCATTTTTGAGTGTCATACCTGTAATATTAACACAATAACGCAAATTTTTGTAAATTTCACAAGACAGGGAAAACGGTGAAATATGCCAACTACGAGTGAAACTGAATTTGAAAAAAAAAAATTCTTGTCAGGAGATGATCCAAAAAAATGGGCGCACCATTTTTCTTGTTTATTTGTTGTTGTTGTTGTTGTTGTTGTTGCTGTTTATTTCTTTCATTTTTACAGTATTTTGGCAGGAAAAAAAGTCATAAGTGGCCTGCTTTTAAAATGACGTGCATTCTGACCAGAAACAAATTAATTTGAATGGATTTATAGGTCATAAACCACTAATAATTTGCATGTGTGGTTTATGTGCTACAGTCATTATATGATTTAACTAGTGACTAAACAATTTGTTGTTTGATTTATTCTATATTTAATCAATTCTATGCGCGTGGGTTTTTTTTATTTTTTTTATTTATATATATTTTTTTTAATTTCTGTCAGTTGCCAAATATATAATTCGCGAAATTCACACCCATCCGAGTTTCAAATAGTCAACCCTTCTGAGTTCTCTATAACTAAGGTCACGAAATCAACATAAATTTATTAAAAAATAAACTAAATCTGTAGTAAATATGAAAGTACTTACAAAGCAAATATAATTTATCAATATCGTAGCCCCGATATTGAGATCGGAGATCAGTCTCAGTAGCCAGCTTTCGTTCAATCAGAAAGACAATTCAGAATAGTTTTCAGTCTTCAAACTCACTTCAACCAAAATCTAGAAATACGAAAATAGTGACGACATTATAAAACACTGTCATCGTCAACGATCTGCGGAAATGTGTTGTGGAAGAGGTCAAAATTGAAACCTTTTCTTTCCCATCTCAGACGAACAAAACACAACTGCAAAAGCAATGCCATTTTGTTTTCAGCATCTGGACACCTGAGGGCAATATTGCAAGGGAATTCTGGGATTGTAATGGCTGCGCCCATGTGTTTTGATTACCACGAGAGATTTACTTATTTACTTACCATCCCCGTATGTAGATAGAGCTACCGGCCTAATTACAGATACAGGTAATCTAAAGGTAAGTCATAACATTACGTAGTTGTCACCACAGTTATACTGTGATAGACTGTGGTTCATATTCAAAACGCTACAGTCGTGATGTAGCGCGTGATAGAATTACTTGTAAAAATGGAACTATTGTAGTTCCATGATGTAAACAAATATTGTATTTTACACGCGTTGTATACGTTGCTATTGGTCACATAACGAACACGACGCGAAATGACGACTTTAGTGAGTAAGAGGAGCAAGGAAAATAAACTATCACCAAAGAAATTAATAACACATTGAGAATATATCATAACAATAATTAACTTGAGTCTTCCCACTATGCCATAGTAAATAGAATATATGACTGCCAATATTCTAATATAACTGATTCTGTATCTTCTATTTCAGATTGTTGATAGAAAACATATTAGTTTAACATATTAGTAAATTAATTGCCATAATATTGTCACCATGACACGTTGGGCAAGAGGAGGGCCAAAAAAGAGACCCCATGAAGCATCATCATGGGAGGAATTAAAACCCAAACAAACTGACAAATCTTCATTTGTAAATCCTGAACGCATCAAACCTAAAAAACATAAAAAAGTGACAGTGACAACTGAAAAGAATGATGATCCACAAGAGATTAAAAATGAAAAAACAAAATCAGATGAAGAAAAAGAAAAAAGTGAATCTGTCGTGGATAAAATCACAAAAGCAGATAAAAGTGTCAAGAAAAGAAAACCTGTGAAGTGGAATGATGATTTAGAGCAGATTCCAGAAAAAAGATCAAAAGATGGAAAGTTGAAAAAGAAATCCTTGGCGGTGACAGAAAGGTCAGCAGAGATGAGTCCATCAGAAATATTTGCTATGAAAGACAAAAGACGAGAGGATAGAAGGGTGAAAAGAATAGAACAAAGGCGAAACAAAAAAGTAAGTAACCGGTATTGATTGAAACATTGTAGTTGGTATAACCAATAGAAAGCTAGGTGGTATTGCCGTAAACGTTAGCTTAGACCATAATATGTCTTGTTTTTTTTTTACTATTGTAAATGCATTAATTATTCACTGGGTTTTATTTTCGCTGATGAGTAAAATCTTCTAAATTAAATCTATGTAAACATGTAAAATAACAATAAAACTCATTGTTTCCTTAAATTATTATGCTCAAAAACATAGTGAAAATAAATGGTAATTGCCCATTCACATTGATCAATCGATACCATGTGCAGCTCTGTTGTCTGACAGTAAATGAACAGGTTATTGCATGAACAATATAAAGAAAATTTACTGTAAACCAGCAACATTAATTTATCACATTTGGATATATCAACCTATAACAAACCCACCACTTTTCTTTCACTTTAAAAAATTCATGTCATTTTTATTCAGAACATTTTCTATAAACTTCTTACATTACCTCCACATCAGCATTCTTTGATGTCTGTGACACACTATAACAATATGGCCAATTTCTTTTCTCTCACGTTATCACTCTACATACATGAAATTCGTTGGCATTTCTGGGTATAATAATTGAAATAAATGACTCAACATTGACCATGATTGCAAGTCATAAAACACAGAATTAGAAGTTTTTATCACATAGCTTTACATTATCATATGATATTGAAAACCTCTATTTATTTAAAATATCCTCAAAATTTAACAAAATTTTAAAATTCTGATTGTGGTGATTTATAACAACATAGCACCATATTGGAATCAAGAGAAGGGTTCACATGTAGATGTGTTTGTCTTTGCCTTAAATTATCTTGCCATCGACCTATCTCCTCATCCAATATGCTGCTGTAGGGAATTCATTATTGTTTAAATAACAGGGCTTGGAAAAGAATTTCTCTCTTATTCTTGTGCACATCCATTATTGGACACATCTCCATCCTTACCATGCGCTGTCAATTTTCAAAGTTGCACATTTTCATTGGTCAGTACCACATGCCACTATTACCAGAGGATAACTTGACAGTTTTTGACATCATTCCATATGCACGAACAAACAAACAAGATGGTGTTTGAATCAGAAATATTATATGTGTTACATTTTCAGGATGTTGGGGGAATATATTCAAAATAAAGTATGGTGCACTGTTCATGATAGTGTGATGACCAGCCTTTGACAGGATGTTTGCTTAAATAATGGGCTTGACTGCATTTAACCAATTAGCGTGAAAATCCCACAGCTTTCTAATACAAAGTTTACAGTACTATCAGTACATATATATGTATCAATTTTATTGATACATACCACACACAAATAATTTTTTATATCAATATATTAAATTTGTGTGAAAAAACTAAATTTTGAATAACAATAACAAATGTTATACTAGTATGTCGTACTAAAGATTTCACTTGGATCCTTAAGCCTTTCATCACCAGATTTTTCGCCCAAATTTGTCTGCACTTTCTGCTTATATTTTTCAATATTTTGGGAATGAACATAAATTTTGGAGCCAACAGACAAAATTTGATTAAATTTTCATTTTTTACTTGTTTTTTTGTGTCCCAATCTCTGAAGGAAAGTGCAGACTATAAACAGGACTATTTTGTGAATTTGTGATGAAAAGATGGAACTGATGGTGAGAAAGTTAAGGTACCAACAGGGGTAAAACATGATAAAACATTGTTCTGTGATTGAGACATTCTCTAAAAGTTAGTATTCATTCCACCATAACTTTTGCATCATTTAAAAGCTTAGATATATATTGTAAGGGGTTACCTAACAACCAATTGTGCTAGTGTGACTATTCTGACCAGTTTTGGTAGCCACATGACAAAATTGGTTGTTTGGGAGAGATGGACACCTGATAGGAAAGAATCCCATGTGACACCTTTTGCTTTTCTGTTTTGCAGGTATGTTTTCATTGTCGACAGCCGGGTCATGGTGTAGCTGACTGCCCTGTAATTTTAAAAGCTAATGATCAGGGGATGGGTATATGTTTCAAGTGTGGTTCTACAGAACATACGTCACACCAATGTACTGCCAGAGTTGATAAAAAAAGAGGTAACTTGTTCCATATATTTTCTCTCTATTTGTTTAGTGTTATGTGATGTATTTCTTCAGAAATTGCTTGTTTAAAAAAAATGAATAAAGCGACCAGATTTTAAAAACTTACTAAAATCTTGATTCTCATTTACAGACAAGTTAGTAAACTAAAATAATTGCCATACCCAATTTTGTAGGGTCAGAGTTCAAGGAGATTTTTGTCAAGTTAAAGTAGTAGTTATGACTGTTATGATAGTTTATTTCTTTACAGCCATATTTTGTGAGAATTGATCTGTGTATAGCTTATACATGTAGTGTTTGCGACAGATGTGTAATAGTAAAAAAAAAGTGTCCACTGTTCTTAATCAAGACTTGGATCATGTCATTATGTATACATGTAACGCCATCGTCAAGGCATGTCAAATACATGGCTATGAAATAGCACCCTGTAAAACAAAATGACCACTTGCCGTCCATTTTGAATCTGATTTTAGTAAACACAATATCAAGATCTCAATGTTCAATAAACTAGTATCTGCCCATGAAAGATCAAGACCCAGTTGGAATGGTACAAAAGCTTTTTTGATACATTTTTAGAACTGAATTAACACCATTCTATGATTTGTATTGGATTGTGCAATGACTGCATGTATAAGCATATGTGTGACACAATGTTTCAAGTTTAAAAGTTATTGGTCAAGGCATGTAAGAGATATGGCTCTGGAACAGCATTCATTAAAAAAAAAATGGTACCAGCCAGCTTTTTTGAATCCAATCTGAAAAATGATGATTTATGCGTGTACATTTAAACTTAATTGTCCACAAATATCTATGGTTGGCACATACATAGAGTTCAATCTTAACTTTTTTACCACAAGATAAATCATTTTTTTCGTATATTCTTCAATTTGAGTAAATTTTCAGTTTTTACTTGAAAAATTTGGAACTTCTAAAGGAAAGCGCAGACTATAAACAGGATTTTGTGAATTTGTGATGACAAGAGGGAACTGGTGGTGAAAAGGGTAATACATATACAGTATTGGATTAGCAAGGAATAATAATATTTGACTTCCACATTTTGGTCTTCAGTCTTTGGAGGTCAAGGGTTACCATATATTGTGCTGTTATCGGACTTGTTATTCATGACTGGGCAACATTTAACACCTCTGTATTATTTCTGTAAAAAGGAACTATTCGGTCAACTTTATTTTAAAAATATAATCTTTGTAAATATTTATACTATTGGTAAATCAAAGTTTGTCAAGTGTGCATGTATGACGATGAGCTCTATATCGTTAACACTGGGACAATTTGAGGTTAATGTAACTAACTTAGAAATGAACTACATGTGACCCACATTGTCACCTTCCTTTATTTATCCACTGTGATTTATATTTTGAATTACATTTCATGAGAGGTTACATTTACATGTAGAGTTGTTCTGTAAAATTCTGAATTACCTAATTATTATTCGTATTTTATATCATTCTTAATAAGTGAAAACAAATAGCAAAACTTCATGTTGTAACAAACTTGTCATTTTCAAAAACTGCCAAGTTAGTTGGATTTTCAGGAAAATAACTATTTTACAAAGGTATCTACAAACATGCATTAAGAACTTATTGAAACTTTTATTATCCACTTTATCCATGTCTAAACATCTGAATAATACAACCTTGATGGTTTTGAAAAATGTTGAATTAAAACATGTTTTCTTGGCTGTCAATTAATGGACTGATAGTTCTCATGTTAATTTGCATTCTATTTAAAAACTGAAAATTGAGCTAAAGTTTTCATCAAACTGTACAGAAAAAGTAGATGTGGTAAAAAGAACTTCAACAGTGAAGAGATAATGATTGGGAGAAATTTTCATCATGTTTGATGGCTATAATAATTAATTCAATAATTTGCAACAGATGTTACGTGTGAGGAAGATCACAATGTGAAGTCACACAAAATACTATGTAGCAAGTTGTCAAGGAACTCAGGTCAGAGTTCATCTCAACATCTTTTGCTTAAGAGTCCTTGCTTATTCATATTTATATGTTCAGCATATGATTTTAATAATAGTGGTTTGTATAAGTAAACTATTTAAATTACAGGTTTTATTATTGCAGGTGTGTTTACTTTGACTTGTTATTATCAGTAAATGCAGTTTATGATATGCCAGATTATTTTTAATTTACACATTCCATCTCATTCAACCAGACAGATCCAAACTTTTTATCCACTTGGCGACAGAGTGAACTTTCTTTAAAACTAACTTTTCAGTTGTGTTTCATGCTATATAAGACTTTTCACAATACATTAGTAAAGTTTGCTTTTAATCACCACATGTATATTGCCAGTATGTAATTTATATTATATTAATTTTGTAGCGTTAAACTAAAACCCTTCCTGTGAATGTGGATTTTGATATTATTATTATTATTATATCTTAATCTGTGTTGGTGTTTGTAATAAAGTACATTATTGCCATGATTAATCACCACTGAATTTGAAAGGTATAGACTCGCATGATCTTCATCACATATCAAAGTTGCATACCTTAGCTGTACAATTCACAGTGAGTGATGACGTGATTCTATTTTTTAATCTGATGTCACATGGCAGATAAAACCACTAGAATCCAGGGGAGTGAGAGTGAGAAGTGTTAATTACCGTATTATACAAGTAACTGAAACTTAGATATTAATCAATTTTGAAATACAAGTTTCAGGAAAAAATATATTATCATGGTGAATTACAGAAAGTATACTTCACAACAGTTAAACAGGCTTTTGAACATCCAAGTAAAACACACCCACCTTTTGCGGTACACCACTGTCATGATTGGTATGATCCATGATTTGCACACTACCTTTATATGATACGAGTGCGCAAAGGGTACTATCAGCAGCAGTACGTCTCGTGAGAAGCACCAACACAACCAAGTAACAAAAAACACCATGGCATCCAATATTACATCATTGAAGGAGCAGATAAAGGAAGACATGCTGACATGCAGTCTCTGTTTAGAGATATTCAAAACTCCTAAATGTCTACCATGTCTACATAGTTTCTGTGAACGCTGTTTGCAAACTTGGGTTACGAAGAATGCGGGTCAGTTAGTGTGTCCGATCTGCCGACTGAAAGTGAACAGTAATGTAAGCGATTTACAGACAAACTTTTTATTGACAGGTCTTTCTGATTATATGGCTACAGTGAAGGAGCTAGAGAACGATATAAATAAGTGCGCAGCTTGTGATGAAGGCGTGGCAGTGACACGCTGTACAGACTGTGCTGAATATCTCTGTAAATCATGCACTACCGCACATAGACGTCTCAAAATAACTAAAGGTCACCAGGTCATAGACTTAGCACACTATACTTCAGAAGTGTCCTTAGATGTGGAGATACCACAACCTATTGTGTACTGTGATAAACATGAACAAAGTCCAGTTGAGATCTACTGTGAAACGTGTCGTATACCAGTCTGTACCAAGTGTGCTCTGATTGAACATCCAACCCCCAAACATCGGCATCAACACATGGAGGACGCTGCAGAAAAAGGCAAGCACCATCTACGACCACTTTTAAAACAACTGAAAGACACAATCAACAGTACAAGTGATGCAACAAACAACATTGACCAAGAATTGCAGAATCTGAGACATTTTCGTGATGACACTGAAAAACGAATTGATGAACATGTCCAAATCATCATTGACAAACTTTTAAAAAAACAATCACAGGCAAAAAAAAAATTGAACACGATTTTTGAGAGCAAAAATCAAAGTTTAGAATCACAGAAAAAGAACCTAGAACTGACAAAAGTCACATTAGAGAGTGTGGATGATTACGCAGAAAATCTGATGAAATTTGCCAGTCCTTCACAATGTTTACTTTCACTAAAGAATGTAATAGATCGTGTCAATCAGGTTTTGAAAACTGAGATAGAGATTAAACCGAAGGAGGATAGCAGGATTTGGTTTGTTGCAAACAATGCTCTTATTACTGAGCACATTGGCAATGTGCATTCCTCAGTGGAAGTGGAAGGACTGACAAAACTCATCATTTTAGGGAAAGAAATGCAGAATACAGGCAGTTCTTCACTACAAAAACAAGATATTATAGTGAAACTTGTGAATCCAAGTGAAGTAAAGGAAATTGTTCCAATATCTCCAAGGAATTCAGGGAGTTTGATTCAATCAAACATAAATTTTAAAGAATTAGGAAAACATTCTTTAACAGTGAAACATTGTAATCAGAAAGTGAAAGATATGCCATATGAGATTACAGTGATCCCTCCTGTAGAGACTGTTCAATGTTTTGGTTCTAAGGGGAGTGCTCCATCTTTCTTCAAAGCACCCCATGGGGTTGCCATAAATCATAATGGCCATATAGTAGTTTGTGACAGTGGCAACCACAGAGTTCAGATTCTAGACTGGAATGGCCGATGTATGAAATGTTTAACATTCAACCAGTTTCCCAAACAATTTTGGCCTATGGATGTATCAGTATCTGCTGATGGTAGATATTTTATTTCTGATGTGAATAACAAACAAATAGTTGTATGTACAGAAGATCAGTTGATAACCACCTTTGATCAAAATGAGGGGATCGGTCCTCAAGGCATCACACTGACAAATGATGGTTATGTACTGTTTATAGATCGACAGGACGATAGACACTGTATTAGAAAGTATACAGTAGATGGTTTACATGTCATGGCTGCTGGAAAAACTGGGTTCAAAGTAGGAGAATTTATGAAACCATACAGTATTGCAGTTAATAAGAAAGATCAAATAATTGTTTCAGAGTTTGGCAACCATTGCATCCAGGTGTTTGATTCTCACTTTCACCACATTTTCTCTTTTGGTTCAATTGGATCAGGAGAGAATCAATTCAAAGGTCCCTGTGGACTTGACGTTGACAGCGATGATAATATCTACATTTGTGATCCTAATAATAAGAGAGTATGTAAATATTCTCATGATGGTAGATTTCTATGTCTCATTGCAGAGGGAGAGTGGGAT